CGCGGTGTCGTGGCGCAGCGCATGTTCGAATTTCATGTAAATAAACAATGTATTTTATGGAAAGCCGTACGGGACCCTGCTGCGTCGATATAAATTGCATGGTAAAACATATAGCTTCAAAATTTAGCTGCTTCTTCAACAAAAGTGCGATTTCCGATGTCTACGTTTACAAATCAGAGTAGTAGCAATCAGCGCCAAACTTATTCACAGTCGTCGCTAATTAATTAGTAGTTGTCGCAAAGCGAGTTGTAGTAGTCGCGATTTAACGGGTGATGATTTGTAGAAGTCACTAACACACACACTACAGCGTATTTGTCGTTGATGCCGTTCCTTAATTTATAGATGACGACATTTCATTTTCCAAGTAGTCGAAGCAAACAAGTCCCCCTAGTAGACGACGCAATTTTCAATTTTCAAGTTGTCGACGCAAAACGAGTCCCCCTAGGTGACTTTCCTTTTTTCATTTCAAGTTGACGCAGACGCATTTTTTGCTAGTAGTCGACGACGCACATTAGCATTTTCAAGTTGACGCAGTCGCATTTTTTGCTAGTATTTTTTTTAGATTTTATTTTTCATTTTTTTCGTCTGTTTTTTCGAGTTTAAAAAATGTGAGCTGGCTGGAGCCTTCATCCCTTGTCTATTTCTTACACTATATACCAGCCGATACCCCCCCCCCCGCGCGCTCATATCGAGTGCGTACAGTTGATCATAGTTCCCGGGCTCCCTGTGAAATGATTGCGGGAAAAACTCAAGAAGCCCGGAGAAAAACTTCACAAGTTGAACCAGGCGTTTTGTAGTCGTGGAGGTTAGTCGATTCTATTTCTAAGGAAGGAACTGGATTCATTTAAAGTTAGGAATGATAACATAAAATGCAATCATTTTTAAGCGAAGACAGCACAATTTTATTGACAAACGCTTACCCACAATGATGATTCCACAGCTGTAAAATCGAGAATGACTGTGATCACGCGATATTAACACGCTTTTCGTAGCGGCATTATATATTTAAAATATTTATATTGTTCTTCTTAATATAAGTGGTCACTATTCCCCTAGATATAAATTATCTAATCGCGTGAACTCAGAATGATTTACTTATGAAAACAATGAAATGTAATCTTTAATTAGACCCGCACTTACAGACGGTAGTCGTCGCGCCACGCATGCGCCAAATATATGGGTCTCATATAAACAAAGATGGCGACTTTGACTGTTGCGCAGATCAACGTGTACAAACTGAAACGTTAAGCTTTAATGGGGTATTTTTATGTGATTGGGAGGTATTGAATGAGTCACTGGCGGTAATTAGTGCGAGTCGCGACTAGGTCAGACCATATTTCCATTGGAAGAGCGCATTGGATTGTGGGAAAATCAATGTTTATTAACACAAATGTCGCACATGCACAGAGCGACGACCACCACCCTTTAACGACCATGCTAGTCACGCGATTGTTTTACATCTCATCTGACTGAATGCTTTTGCCGTATTTACTCTTATCATTTCTTAACGAAATAAACAACTCAAGAAGAAATAATAACAATGCAGTGATGATAAATATATTGTGTGACAACAAATTATACGTCTTTGTATTCTAGAGTCTTGTAAAAGATAAATGAATGTAAGTGACAAAAACTTTATCTTAAGTCAATCATTACGAATTTGAACCAATGTCTCCTTTCATATAATTCTACTCAATCAATTTATTGTGATAATTGAATACGCACAACGAATCATGGAAAAGACAAAAAACTCCCACTGATTATAGACTTTAAATTTATTGCACCAATCAGTGAGCTTCTAAGCGCGCGTTTTTTTGTTAATCATCAATCATCGAAAATTAATATGACGACGTTATTGACGTAGCTTACAAGTTTCTGCTTTCAAACCTCTATGTTAACGCGAACATTGCACGAATTTTTAATTGGAGGCATTTTCATCAATTCAAAATTGGTTTTATGATATTGCAAATATTGCTTTATTTAGATTTGTTTCAGAAATATGTCTTCCTTTACACGATTGAAAGGTAGGTGGCATTGGTCATGACTGCTGAGATTTTGCAAACATGGCTAGACTCATTAGATATTCTTACTTCTTACGTCATATTAATGACAAGGAAACACGCAATATGACCTTAAGTTATTAACAACTAATTGTGACTAACGACAAACAGAAGAGGGCAGTAATCAATTTGCATTGGGTAGGGTAAGTAATTGATTCAGGAAGAATGAATCAATTACTTCCTTATACCAGTTAATTACCTCCGGTCAGGTATTCATTGCGCTGTAAGAACACCAGCCTTCCAGCAAGACAAACCTATCTTTCACCCCTACACAGAACATATTTGTCTATGATGTCTGACAAAGGTATGTCGATTATTGTATGCCTAGACCACTTGCTTTATTAGGATGTGTCAATTACCAGGTTATTATATAGAAATATAGAAATGCACGTTTTAAAGAATATGTCATTTTTTTTATCAGCCAAGTTGGTCAATGATGGTGACCCGCCTCCGTATCTTACCTTCCCTGGAGAACAGGTATTGTTGATAACTATATATATCTTATTTTCCATTTATGTTAACACATGTACCGGTAGTTCGGGTGTTGTTTCGCTCCAGATTTACAATTAGAATGTAGGAAGACTGTAAATCGATCGTATCGACTGATGAATAGATTCATTATTCACAAAAACAGTTGTCATGTGTCCTCTCTTATAAAATCGCATAGAATTGGTTATTTTCAAACTAACGCGCATATGTAACGCATTTAGGGTTGTTTATTTACAACAAATAGAGAACAATGTGTCTTTCTTTCAGAGCGAATGTGTAAAAAACAGAAAAAGGGCGTTTAGGGGAAATGATTGGGGAAATAGTTTTGTCTTTGCGTATAGCAGCTTTGTGAAACTTGATTGATGCAGCAAAAAATATATAAAACAAAGTATAATTTTCACAACTTTTAAAGGGCGTGTTTGGCAGATTTTATAATCCACAAACGCGTTCGGTTATGGTATTCTACTTCCGTCATGCGCGTCGCTGCCCAACGTAGACAAAAGAAAATGTTTGAGCGTAACTTCAATGACCTGGCAAGCACTTAGTGCTGGTGACCTAGTTTACCCCATATTAAACTGGTAGACATACTAGTTAAAATATAGACACGAGATACGGCACAAGACCCAGGAGCAAGAATCGCTAGTTGTATATGTGCCTTAACCGTTAATTGGCCATGATTTTTGGTATGAATGTACATTATACTGTTTCCAATGCTAGGTGTATTATAAATGTAATTTACACTCTTATTCACGATTGTATCCAGTAATATAAACCCACGAAAGAAATGGTTAAAACATTCTTTTGTTGCGGTTAATATGATATTCTACTTCCGTCATGCGCGTCGCTGCCCAACGTAGACAAAAGAAAATGTTTGAACGTAACTTCGATGACCTGGCAAGCACTTAGTGCTGGTGACCTAGTTTACCCCATATTAAACTGGTAGACATACTAATTAAATTATAGACACGAGATACGGCACAAGACCCATGAGCGAGAATCGCTAGTTGTATATGTGCCTTAACCGTTAATTGGCCACGATTTTTAGTATGAAAGTACATTATACTGTTTCCGATTTATTATAAATGTATTTTATTTTACACTCTTATTCACGATTGTCTCCAATAATATAAGCCCACAAAAGAAATGGTTGTTGCTACTTGTGTTTCAGCTAGTACTCGAATTAAAGTATATATTATATTATTCACTTATAAGCATGTACAGAACTTAATAATTTATTATATATTGACACACAGAGTCATAACAAGTTACTTGCTTCAGTAAAGTAACACGGCAACACAATGGAGCGTGTTTGTCCTTTCAGTTAAATGTTGTTAGATTGCTTTTTGGAACTTTTTTGTACAACTTGTGTGACGCATGTATATATTTCGCCAGGTTTTGCCTCCTAGTGATCAAGTTATTTATACCACGACGGGTGCTGGGTACGTACATGTTACTGAATCAACTCCTAATGACTACATGTGGTTATCAGTGTTAACATGTCTTTTCTGTTGCTGGCCACTAGGACTGTTAGCCATATCGAATTCATGTGAAGTAAGTGATAAGCCCTGTGTATTCTCAGTTATATGTCAAATAAACAAACTTAGTCGTAACCCGCCAATTGTACACAACCTTTGGAGAAAAAAGACATGAATACATTTTAATTTATTGAATGTACCGTTATCAACGGCTAAACTGACTAATGAAATAAACAGTATTTACCTAAGAAGACGTGGCAAATTGCGACTACCTTGAATGATTCATTCTAGGCTTTCAATGTAAAAATGAGTATATATGCGTCTTCTCGAGATACACGACAATCACATTTTCGAGCGAAGGAACGAGTCAAAATATCAAACTCACGTGTAAAACTACTAAATACGTAAAACAATGCGTCAAAAAAAGGGTTGTATAATTTTGTGAATACAAACGCTATGTGATAAGACACGACATTATTGAGTTGTCGGGAAATAATCGACGACTTTCTATTAATTCTGTGAGGAAGTATTTTTAAAAACTATTATCTTCACTAAAACTTAATAACAAACAGTATTGTCTTGACATTGTTATTAGGTTCAATCAGCTCTGGAAGTCGGGAACATACCGCGTGCCAAAGAAAAATCAGTGAGTGCAGTGAAATTGAATATTGCAGCAATTCTGTCTGGTGTCACTATCACCATCGCTGTTAATCTTATCGTGTTCCTGGTGGTGTTACCAAATCAAAATCAAGATGATTATTAAGTGTCGCCATAAAGACATTGTGCCATTGTTATAAAAGTGGTTGTTATTATATCACATATTTGTTACTGCTGTACCATTGCATATCTTAATTAATAATTGTATATTCATTCGCCTGCATGTTATCGCGGCACAAAGGAAACAGGAAAAAAAGAGTTGTTACAAATTATATACAAATTTTATTTTCTATGTTTGTACTCGGTAGTTTTTTACTATATTTCATTTGTACAAAAGTGTATTTATATGCCCAAAGTGTAGTAATTATTCGCGAGATGAAAAACATAATCTCCGCAGTGTATGTAGATGTAAATGATATAAAATCGACGTCAAATTTAATAATCTATTTAGTCAAGAACGTTGTACAATTCTAAAACAAAAATATTATTCACGTCATTATGAATGTGTTTAATATGTAAAAGGTAATACACAATGGAACAGGAGGTATCACTTAATGCATGCTATCATAAGTTGACCTCCAGTGGAAATTCGGCTGACTATAGTAATGACATTTTGCATGGCGGTCGCTTTCACTCATTCGGGTTGAACGGATTCTGTTTCTCAGCCACTTTTTGAATTCTGCCTCAACTCTTGTACGTTTTAATATTTGTACTTTTTAGTTCCAAGCCAAGTCTTCCAGTGCTTCTTGCATGATGTGTTGTGAGAAAATGTTGAATAAACTTGGTGAAAGTATGCACCCACTGATGTCTAGATTCATTCTAGAGTATTTTCTTTAGTTACTACGACACGGGGAACATTTTTATGTAGTAGCGTATGTATATACATATAAACCAACACCGATTTCTTCCATGATACCAGTGTTACAGTCAACACATTAATACATAGAAATTAAAAATATTAATATGTCTGTTTCTTGTCTAAATTTTTCCTTCCTATACGTACGCCTCAATCTCGTCACAAAATACAGGAATTATAGGCTGTTAATCTTAACTTAAAAATGTTGACAGAACGTCATTGATATTGTCATTGATCTATCTTGCAGTCAGTACGTGAATCATTCGGTGTCAGAAACTGTGAATGAGTGTGCCATGCTAATATAAATTAATGGGTTACTAAAATAAACAATTTACAAACGTTTTAAAAAAAATGTCGAAGAAACTGTAATATCGCTCGTACGGACACTCGTCATGACCGTTGTCGGAATTCCCACGGGTAACGCTTGTATTGAAATATTAATATTAAGCTATCAACACATTGCTATCAACAAGCGTGGTTTCTAAAACAATACCAGTGTCGCTTTCGGTAAGTTTGTGGTATTTGGGTAGATGACAGTGTATGGCACCACGTGTATTATTATAATTTGTAAAACACTGTCACCTGTGACAAATAAGCCTGTAGAGCATTTCACTACGATGTGGAGGTGTTAAACTATTTTTATTCAATTATTTTCTGGAAACCTATGCGCGTGTATTGAATCACTATCCTATCATAAGAGGTGTTTTGAGTCATGTGATGTATCAGTTTGGATCACGCCTGGCCAACGCCCAGGGACAACAATTTTAATCAATGCACTCTATGTCTCATCTTCCCGATATCATAATCCGAATAAAGATCACCAGTTTATACCACACTACGTCACAT